CAAAATCGCAGCAACATACCTCTCCTAAAAACCTAGGCCACACATTGCCTTAAGGACGAGTCATAAGAGGAGGAGGATAGTGTTACGACTAGCCTTAGAATGTGGAGGACATTTCGCCGTTAGATTTGTTTTTAGGTAATCTAAGAGACGGCGGGAATGCAGCAAGAAAAGGAATCACGTGACGAGTCCTATAGATCCTACTTAGCCTTGGCATGCTTTATGCGCTAGGACTTACTAGGACCACGTGACTAGTCCTACCGATCCCTGTAGTCCTACAACCCCTCGTTACTACTAGGACTACTAGGACACTAGGACTACACAAGTATATAGCATTAGGCATTGAGCCCTTATGGCTTAATGTGTTTAACTTAAGTTTTGAGTACAAGTACAATATAGAGAGTTATTCTACTTGCCTAAAGTAACCGTCCTCTTGCACACTGCCGCTCTATCTGCGAAAACCAACTAACAAGAAGATCAATACCAGAAGTCTTATATTACTTACACTTGATCTATACTCCCAACAACTATCTACTAAGAAGTACTAGCCGCCGTACAAGAAGGAAGACAATTGCTCTTTAGCACGCGCAAGGTTGCTATCTCGCTAAGTGACTATACAATTAACTAAGAAGAACGACTCTAATAGCGTGGACGTGTGTAGGTACTAGACTTTAAACTATTACGCACAGGAGTTATCTAAGTAGCTCACCTATCTCTTCCAACTAGACATCCTAGACAAGAAGAGACCTATTAAATTCTTGCATAAGAATAGTACTAGCCTCGCATAAGTAACAACATACGACGCTTTATATAGAACTACGAGCTATGCCGCAAAAGCACTCCCTAGCAGGACAGAAAGTTTGGTTACTTAAAGCCTCTACCTGTGCCTAGCTGTACGTAGCAGCACCTTATAGTTAATTTTATTATAGGCCTTCCTAACTCTCTTAGAAACATAAACTTAATAGTAGTAAAGAACTAATTAGGGAAAGGCGTTGTACTAGTCCTTATAAACAAGATTAAGATAATAGACGTTGCTTAGGCTTTTGTACGAGAAGTTTACCGCCACTATAGCCTTCTATAGTCTATCACGTCTAACCACAGCCCCTAGCTCGCAAGCTAACTATAGGAAAACATCTGTAAGCTGCTAAATATTTAGCAGAATCTCTCTACAGCTTACTACCCATAAATAGATAAGACAATAGAACAAGCTAATAGCGACATAGAAGTAGTTGTATAGATCTTTTGCAACTACAACTAAGACAATTAGGCTTAGCTTTGCCCTCTTCTAAAACTTATACTCAACTCCTGTATAAACGCCTCTATAGGTGTATCCCCCTTCTTTCTCTACTATAGTTACTATAAAACCCTATTTCCCTAAAAAGAAGCTATCTTAGATAACTAAGAAGTAAGCGTAGCAGCTAAAGAGATAGTACGTACAATTAGTAATGCAGCAAACTGGGTAGTTTTAGCGATGTTATACGCCTAACAAGAGCAAGAGAAGTAAGCAAATAAATCTCGAAAACTATCGCCTACTTACAAAGTAGGAGACTAGGTCTAGCTAGACTTACGCAATATACAAATAGCCTAGATAAGTAAAAAGCTAAACTAAAAAAGTAGAAAGTACTAAGTCGCCTGCGTACAGGACCCCTACTAGGTAGAACTTGTAGTGCCTTAGGAGACAAAATCCTTCTACGTAGACAAGCTAATGCTAGCATCTAACAACCTCTTACTATTATAACAAATAGACAATAGCAGCTATGTAGCTATTGTTGTATAACAAGATAGAGAAGAAGAAGAAGACTATTTAGAATAGCTTATATAAGGCATCACAGACAAATAAATGCAAAACAGAGAACTATAATATCTCATTATTTGAAGAGGCTACCTAGAGGGAAGTTAGGAACTAGCTATAGCACTTAAAGACATAAAGGCCCTAGATAAATAGCTCGCCTAAACTTCCTCTATACGAAAACCTAATAGCTAGCTATAAAATAGCTAGAGGCGAAAGCTACTTAATAAGCAATAGAGACTTAGCGCTACCCCTAGAGGCTAAACGATCCCTCTTAGTGCCTAGAAGACAACGCTTAGCTGGCGTACGAACAGACAAACTGTCCCCTCCTCCTGCTAAACAATGGGCGCTATAGTCCTGCTAGATGCAATTGCTATACGCACCCCCCCACTCTCTATTGATAGAGACACAACTAGTAAAGGCTATAAACTCCTTCGCCCTATCTAAGACTAGTGTATAGTTATCGCAAAATGTAGCATTAAGGGCGCTACGTGAATAGACAAAGAAGGCCTTAAGGTATAAGGGTTGGCCACCTAAGATTTAACAGGCATAGAGCGTCGTATAGGCGACAATAGGCGAATAACTGCTAAGGCTAGGACTAAAGGTAGCATTATAGGGCAATAGCCTCCTTAGACAGCAGAACATGTTAAAGACTTAGCAAAGCTTAGGCTACACTAGTTAGCTAATTTAGATATACAATAAGGAAGCAACACTTATAGGAGTAGTAGCAAACACTTAGCAAAACTCTTTAGTAACCTACACGTTAAAAATGTACTAAACCTAGTAGTTATTAAGGTTAACCTATCTAATAATAATAGGCGCTATAGCCTAGATAGCACCTAGTGTTATATAAGTAAGTCACTAATAAGCAACGTTAAAGATCTAAGCAGTTGCTTACTTAATAGTGTTGTTAACTCTTCTATTTATACAGAAACGCAAGGCGTTAACCTAGCTATTAGCCTATATCCCACAATTAGATATTGTATAAGAAGACTTAAGAAAGTGACTATAATAAGAGAAAAGTTAAAGCTAAAGGGGTAGAGGAAACAGCAGTAGGTAGGGGAAGAAGAGTATTTATGCTCGCTAGACAGCGTTTGCTATATAGCACTATTGCCTAACTCTCTCTTACCTTTACTATTTGCCTTTACCTTAACTATACAAGACGCTAAATATGTAATAGCAAACGAACAGAGAGAAAGGAAAAGAAGACTAAAGAATACGCACGTGATATTAGATAAGGTGAGGAAGGGGAGTATTATAAAGGGCTACGCTAGAGAGGTATGACCTACAGGTCACATAGTAGCGAATTACATAACTCTAGTTATATAACTAAATAACGTAGTTAGCTACGTATAAATAAGCTTAAGTAAGGAGGAAGACTAAAGGTCTAAGCGTTTGTACGAGTAACAACTATAAAAGGAGGGCCCTCTAGATAGTTCTTTTCTATATCTTTCTTCTTCTGTATAATAGGTGAATGCATACTCGTTAGTTAGGCCTCTCTCGCCTATAACATATACCTAGTAGCATAAATGCCTTAGATAACTATTACTTACTTTTAGTTCTCTAGCTAGATAAGATTTAGTCTTATATAACGTTCTATATCAGTAATAACCCTTTTTAAGCTAATAACACTTATCTAGAAGCTAGTTTAATTAAAGTTGTAGATATTATCTAGATAAACTCTAAACTAGTTAATTATATCTTATATAAGCTTAAACTATAAGCTGATAACCTTTAAGTCTTCCTAAAGGGCTCTCTAATAGTCCTTTACCTAATTAAAAGCTATCTTAAGCTTCTCTATATAAGTGATAAAGCGCTAAGCCTAGTTTTTACTACTAGGTACCCTACTATAAGCAGCTAGTAATTATTTAGTAATATCTACTACCTTATATAGCTAGGGCGCAAATCCTCACGCGTTAAGGTTAAGAATGTATTATATAATAGTCTAATCTTCTACTATAGTAAGCTTTTAGACTTTAAGTTATATATTAAGTTAATTAGTAATTCTATAAAGCTAATTAGAGAGCCATTAATATTATACGCTATAGGCTACTATAGCACATTATAAGGTCTTAAATTAGCTAGTAGTAAAAGCCTAAAGCGTAAGGTTAATCCTACTTTTTTTATATAATAAGATAGCGTTACGTTGTAAAGACATAATATATTCTTTGTCGTGTTCGCAGTGCCAAGAAAAAGTGGCTAGCTCACTGGTTTGGCCGCCTCACTGGTGTAGTACGTTAAGTTTACTAAAGAATTTTAATGAATTTATATAAACTTAATATTACTTAGTATATATTTGATATTTTGTTATAACTCGTACTTATGATAAGCTTTTTATACTTATTAGTAGCGTGTAAAACTCAATATAAACACAAATAAAACATTTGCTAAATGAATATATAAAAGGCTATAGCTTATATATCTTTTATAAGCTATATATAATGTTTAAGTATATTATATAGAAAAAAATGTATCATATTTAAAAAAAGATTAATGAAATAAAGAACCTAATTTTACTTTCTAAATATATAAATAAATCTAATTAATAAAGTATACAATTTATTACTTAGCTCTTTATAGCTATAGTGTTAGTACTCTTAGTTTCTTACACTACTTAATACTTTTATTTAATATTGAAATCTTAGTCAATCTAATAGCTTAAACTTAATAGCTACCTATTAAGTGTAAGGGGCTCGACCCCGGAGGGTAGTCTTAAGCTCGGGAGCACGATCGGACAGGCCAAGGTAACAAGATTGTATTCGATAGAGAGCTAAGCTCTCGGCTACGTAGCTATCTATATACAATGCTGGTTGCTAGGGTAACAATCGGGCCGGGCAGGTGGAGTAAACGAGGTCGTAGACGAGTATGGGAGGCGAAGGGCGTTCAGCCCGTTACAAAGGGGTTATATAAGGACTCTTTAACTACTACTCTTTCTTTCTATTATTATTATTTAGTGACTAACTACTTTATAAGTTCAATGTAAGTCTACTATATAATAATACTAGATCCTAGCTTTCTGAGTTTTTGCCTTACTTATTATAAGCTATTTTCTTGGCTAAGATATATTAGATTAAAGATTTGCGTTTTTTCTTCTATGTCTTATTACCTATCACTATTCTATAACTCTGAAACACTCATTGAGACAAAAAATAACATATAGATTCTTTTTATTCACTATTGTTAGATTGTGAAAGCTAGAATATAGCCTAGTTCCTTATACACCATATCTAAATTCACGGACTTTCTGCTGGTAGTACCAAGTCGCCAGCACTCCGGTCGCTCCCAACGCAAGCGGCACCGGTGCGCGTCCACCTGTCTTGATGATGCGCGGCACTGCCGAACCCATGAGCATTACACTGTTTCCAAGTGCCAGCTCAGTGCCGTAGTCGAGATTTTGCTTGATGCGGTAGCCTAGGGCAATTAGCTTAGATAGCTGTTTATAGAAAGCGCCCGACAGCGAGCTGTGTGTGAGAGAGAGCGAGAGACAGCGAGAGACTCTTTCAGGGAACTTTCAAACAGACCATGCATGCATAAGACGTACCAGCATAGGCGTAACTCACGCCCAAACCGATACCTGCGACCAGGCTGGGTGTTGAGCGTGTTCGAAAAAAACCTGCCGTTCCTCCGACGGCCACTGTAATTTGTCAGCGCATTCAGGTGCGCTCAACGCTCTCATGACATACACAGGCCTGCTAACGTGAAAGAAGGATGCTCAGCCATTTCTTTAGAAGACTTCCTGAACAAAGGTACAGAATTCAGTGATGGATACCGATGGGACTAGGAAGAAAGTGCGGGCACGGGAAGCTGTTCAGAAACGGCGCAGTCGGTCGAATTACGGACATGCCAAGCCATGACACCATGCAGCCGTCGATTGTTCCACACCATGTTTTTGATGCACCGATTATCATTGTATATACCATTTTAAACAAGCATGGGGTGTGGGGTATCAAAGAAAAGTAACCAAGAAAAGTACAAACTATTACAAATGAAAAGTACACAGTGGGGGAGTAGCATGTGCGGATGTTTCGCAGCTCGCCGTGCCAGAATCCTCGCGACTACATTAGGTGTGCCAGACCTGCACGGTAAACAAACCCGAAAAAGCGCGTTCGATACCATTGCAAAAACCTGAAGGCACTGGGTCCATGACATATTGTTCTGATCAACGGCGTGGCACATTTAAGCCACCACAGAGTGGGTTACACTGTATCGCAAAGAAGGCGGTGCGAAAGCTGAATAATCCGGGGGCATCTCTTCCCTTGTTGCAATACTTGCACTTGGAGTGGCCTCAGATTGCGTAGGAGGTGCTACGCTTCTCGGTGCCAACACGTCGGCTGCTGATCTGAACGCGCTCTGTTCTACACTGCGTGCACGGGCATTCTCAATACCGGTGTCGCTGCCCTCGGCACAAATCTGAATTGGGACTTTGAGATTCAGGTTCGAACTGCTGTGCGTGGAGAATTGCAATGCGAGAGCATAAGTCCGTGAGATGAGGCAGGAATGAAAGGTTGGTATAAAGTTACGTGTGGTAGGCAAGGCGATAGGCACGAGGACCTGGGTCGTATAAAAAGTACCCTGTTTGTAATCCGTGGACGCAGGCAGAATACCCATAGCGAACGCCGCTTCGCTTTGGCTTGCTGTTGAACAGTCGCTGATTCCAGAGTCGCGTCGCATCAGACCCGCTGCAGAGGGGTTGGAGCTAGCGTCATGCTTTTCCCATTGGGCAGAAGCAATGCAAAGGTTGGAGATGGGTACATATTCAGAGTACAGACCTTGAGACAGATCGAATCCCAGTGTCGATCTTGTCGGCAGGCTCTTTCGAGGAGCTGAGGCATAGTAGGTCGACACCTTCAGCTTGGTCGCCAGCGAGCCTAATTTGGGTGGGGCATTGAGCTCTTGAGCTGGGTCGAAGCGTAGTACCAGTTTGGCCATGGCAGTGATTGGTCTGCCCTGAATTGAACGGGCACCGGGAATGACGAGAGGCGGTGGCTGGATGGTCTTGGCTGAAAGTGTTCCAAGCTTTCCCTTGAAAAGTCCCTTTCTAACCGTCTTCTCCTGATGTAGTCTATATTCTGCATTGTGATCGATGTTCTGAGGGGGCTGCTCTGGAAATGCGGGCTTGACGCGGACTTTTTTCATCTTGTCGGCAAGCACCGAGATGCCTTCAGATCGACACAAGTGCGCAATCTTGACTTGGATGGCGTAGGTAATCTTTGACATTTCGGGGGCTAGATCGTCGAGCAATGTACTTCCATAGCCGGCAAGGTCAGCGTCCCCAATGCTGGGAGGAAGCATCAAGTGCATTTCCCGGATGTGGTCAGAGACGACGTCGTGAGAGCAGGCTTTTGGCAGTAATTGCGAGGGGATGGTAAAGGTAAAGGGGAACTTGTAGGCTCTCCCTGCTTCAAAGACTCTTGGATTGGGGAAACTCGATCTGTCTATAGGCTGCCTAAGGGTCAAGAAGCGGTGCTTCGCCTCTGTCCGCCCCGTCATGGTAGGTGTAGACGTCATCCTGTCGACATATACGCGAGTAGTGCCTGGTGAGGTCAGCAGCTGGACACTTGATTCGGACAAGACGCCGTCTATGTACCTGTAAATGCGATATCTATGTCCTCGAAGCGAGTGTCGCGCTGTGCAGTAATTGTTACTGTCCCCTGAAGGGTATCCATGGAGGAATAGCTCATGACAAACTTGGATTGGTGGGCTCCATGTCCGTCGAGGCTGATGTCGATGGCGGGCCGGTCAAGCTGGGCCATGTTGCGGGCCTTGTAGCCTATCTGGCTACCGAGAGCCTGCATCCTGTCGGGATACATGACTGCAGCCGACGGGGCTGAGCAGGAGGGTGTGGTCGAGCGGTGGCACGCGCCTCAAGACAGGCCAGCCCAGATGGACAAGGGCGCAGACGGCAAGAAAAGGCGGGGGAGAGGAGACGGGCAAGGGGCTGGATGTATGGGCATCTTATAGAGTTGGTGGGCATGCGGGCGACGCTGGCTTGACTCACCTCGCCCACGGGCGGCACCATGGGCGATGGGAGGGTTGCAGGCTGCATGCAGATGATGGGCTGTACAGATTGGCCTGCCTTGGCCTCATTCGCGAACAACGGCCTGTATGCCGATGGCGCGACGCGCTAGGCCCGAACGGGGTCCATCAGTTGAGCACTTGCCTGGGAGCCGACGTGCTGTGCTGGATCGAAGACGGGTCTGGAGCAGTGTGGGAGCGCTGCGGTGGCGCTCCAAACAGCCTGGCGGGCGCCCGTCGACGACTGTCGGCCGTTGGGCGGTGCCTTGGGGGGCGTCTGCGTGTTGCGAATACACATGTTCGTGTTGCGAATACACGGCGGGTGGATACGCCGTGTCTGTGTCATTGCAGGCCTGCAAATTTTCAACGTTGCGACCACGACTTACCACTACTGTACTGCTGCCCGCACCCAGCAACCCGAGGGGCCCCGTGCTGCCTTGCTGGAAGAGATTTCTGTCAGCCCGGGGGGTCTGGCCTCGAGCAACGAGAGCCGTGCAGTCCATGTACTCAATGTCTGGGGGGGCTGCTGCTCAAGCGTAGGGCGTGTGTGAGCACCCGTGAAAGGGCGGCGGCCAATCAGCGGCCGGCACATGCCAAGCTAAGCATCGGCGTTGCACTCGACTCCGACACTCTCGACTCCGATGCTCCGACATTCCATTGCATTCCATTCCGACGCCCAACATCATTGCTGTCTGGAGCTGCACCTAGAGCGCGACACCTTCCAACGCCATCCGCCATCTCCCATCTCGCCCTGCGCTCCCGCCCGCGGTACACGTGTCGCATAACATGAAAGCACTATGCCTGTGCCTGTGAGGGGTACAATGATGATCAAGCCCCCCCGCTTACTCACCACGCCTCGCCACTTCGCACGTTGAAAGCGCACGCAGCGCTCAACCCTCCAGTCCGCCACTCGGGCTTTAGCCAGGCAATCACGCCCATAGCCCACGACGCACAATGGCTACAGCCAGCATCTCAGCCAGCGCCGCTCCTGGCGACGACCTGCCCACCCCGCCCGCCTCGTCGGCAGCGCCGTCACAGCACGCATCGCCCCTGCCGCAGCCTCGAAAGCATCCACTGAAGCCTGGCGGCTCAAGAGAGTCCGACTTGATCAGGTACCTCGATCAGGCCATCAACAGAGTCCAAAAGCGTGTCGACAACCGCACGACCCATCGCAAGCTCAGGCCCGCACCTGGCCAAGAGACAGGGTACAGGGCCTTCTGGGAAGTCGCAACGGATCTCGATGGCTTAGTCGACGTCGTGTGGGTGTCCGGGTCCCGTAAGCAGCAACCCTTGCCGTCGGCTGCGCATATTACTAATGTGCCCGACCTTCAGCAAACCTCCAGATCCCCTACTTGCTCAACATGGCCGTGCTTACTGCTGACTTTCTTCCTCTGTTCCCCTCAAACACGCCCTCTGCACAGGCTACCTTCCGCCTTGTCTCCAAACTAGATTATGCCTTTTCCTCGCTGCTCGCTGGCCACGATGCCGCCACGGGTGACTTATTGCCCGGCTTCGATGGTGGCCGCTCAATGACAACCACGGACAAGGTCCGCCTAAAAGGCATTGTGGATCGGACACGGCTCACAGTCGTGCGCGTCATGAGCCGAGACAGTGTGGCCGGAGACGAGCAAGATATTGGCGGGACCCTTGATACAGACACGGACATGGATATGGACACTACACAGGAAGAGGTTGGAGCAGAGCATGGTACCGTAGCCTTTGAAGGCTTTGAAGGCAATACAGACGACGAAGAGGATGACGAGTGGCAAGAGCGCGGCATCGCCAGTGTTTATGAGAAGACTATAGGCGAATTAGGCGACGTTCTCGGTGGTCCCCCAATTGGTATTATTACCGACGATTGGGGCGCCGATGCAACTGAGCACCAGAGGAGCGGCGGTGGTTTCGTCGAGTCCGGGGGTGGTGCCCAGTTATGAAATAGACAATGGCATATGCCACGCCTTTTCTCCCGTCGCAGCTGTGCATTGTCGGGTTGAGGACGTTGTAGGCCCTTTCCCATGCTGCACAGTCTTGACTGCTGTCATCCTGTCTTTTCCTTTGCTTTAGTATCCTCATCTCATGGCCTTTGACACGCCTCAATCTTTTTGCACGTCGTCGGCATTACACGCAGGACCCATTGATGCTCGATCCGAAATTTGCCGCCATCAAGTGGAAAGGCGTGTCGCGCAAGTCCACGGAACCAAGCCGGCCCGTGGTCAGCGGCGGGGACGGGGACGTCGATGGTGCCTTCCCTGAAGAGAAGTGCACGATAGACGACACGCGATACACCCAACCACGCTCAACGCGCCCCATGTGGCATTCCTGTACAGATTGTCGCTGACGCCAAGTTTCCATCTTTTCTCGTCAATCTTATCTTCCGTCAATTACGCAATATTCCCATACTCGAAAACTTTCGTATCCCCTTCCGCAAGCATGCCTACCTACCTAGCGCGTGGCGTGTCTGCACGTCTAGGCGCAATGCCGCTTACCGACACCATTTCACACAAAATCATACTGCGCAAGGGCGAGGCGGCTAGACTGCAGTCTGAGGCAGCTGAGAGACAGTTGAGGAGCAGCAAAATGCTCAGCGAAGTACCAGTGCCCTTCCCAGGCGATGAGAAGCAACACCATCTTAACTGGCTTGGCAACGCACCCTTCATCCAAGTACAAGTTGGCAGCACCGTTTTGAATCGAGAGCGCGCTGAGATAGACGGTGCTATCATGGGTATGCACTGAATCCTCCCCCAGTGGGAGCAAAGCTAATGTGTATTTTGTAGGCCTTTCAGCCCCTCAACAGATCAAAGCGCTCGTTCTTCATGTCAACCTCTCCGACAGGACTTATGTCTCCGGTCTCCAGAATCAGACAACATCTCTCAAAATCGAAGTTTTGTTCAATGGGCAGCTTTCCCATTGCTGGCTCATGTCTATGCACGATCTAAGGTCTGGCACCAGGAGCCATCATCAAGTCTTTGCTGGCACAAGAGTCGACTTTCTTGCTGAAAGACCGTGGATAATTGTCCCAACAGGACTAGCACCAAATGGGAGCTTCAGAAAGGGTAGCAAGTCGGTCTCAGTGCTACAGCGATGGCAAGATATATGTAGTACACTACAAGACGAAGCATGTGAGAGAGGTACAAACACAGAAGGCCAGGTCCCACCTACTGCCGAGTTCTTGAAGGCGCTGGCGACTATGCATATGCCAGATCGGGTGCAGAACATGCAAAAGCCTGGTGGAAGGGTTTTTGGCACCATCGACGTAGTCATCACCGCTGGCGAGGGGAAGAAGCTTACGAGCGGCGTTGGTTATCTGAAAGAGCCAAGGAGAATGCTTGATGACAATTTTCCAATCAAACTTCAAAGTGACGGTACGACTGCGATACGGGAAACAGCTGGAATGGGTCACGACGAGAGCGGCTCAAAGTCCCATGGTCTCGGCCCTGGCTATGGAGCTCAAGACACACACACTAAGGAGAGTATTGGTCCGGTTTTGAATTGGCGGTCCAAGAGGCGGCTCCTGATGCAGGATGTGCCGCCCAACGCAGGTCAAATCAGCACATACTCGCCTTCCCAGTTTGCTCCAGCGCGTCCGCATACATACCTTCGAGGCAAGAACGAATCGTGGAAGACTTTTAGCGAAGCAAGCAGTCGCATGTTTCATGAGAGACGTGTCCCAGGCTTAGACAACGGCCAATTTCTGTTTTCAAAAGAGCATCCGTACGAACCGGCCAATCAGCCTCAGAGCAATCACTATTACAGGCCACCTATTCCAACGGCACTGCACCTGCAATCAGGTTCTCTAGGTCATGGTGCTTCTGGTTTGCCGTTTGTGCCGCGCCTATCGTCCCATAGTCGCCTGACGTGGCCTCAGCCGCCTGTGGGTCTGTACTCAGTACCTACGAAGCCCAAACGAAGCGTCTTTTCGCGAAAGGAGTCTGTTTCAACTGCATCTGATACAAGAAAATGTGACATGTTGCTTAGCAAGGTGGTGATTCTGGGAAAGAATAGGACAGTCCTCATTGAACAACGATGGCATCCCCCGAAACATGTTCGTTTGCGATTGGGTCGGCGGGTTGGTGTTGAGTCGGTACATGAGTTTTCAATTGGCCAAACAGAACTTCCAGGGTCGGTGGGTCTAGTGGATATGGCACCACTCAAGTCGTCATTACGGTATCCCAAGACGGTCTTTCCCTTGGGAGACACCCAGGTGTTGCAACCTCAGGATGACTTGGTGGTGGAAAGAGCGACATCATATGATGGCAGACATAGGCATGAAACATCGGGGGTTGGTTGTACTCGGCGTCATATCGAATCCAAGACAAAGGAGAATGCACCCGTGTTCAAGGGCACAGAGGAGACAGAAGGCATGAGGTGGCCTTTTCAGCGTGGAGAAGCACAGTCACGGACCTCGATGCATATGACGCAGGCGGGTGACTCAGGTGAAGAGGGAGATGCAGCGATCAAGTCTTGGTTGCATGCTTCGGTTCCGCAGAAGCGCAAAGACTTGCATGGCAGCCCGGCTACGAAGTCAGGCGGCTGTATCCGCTCAGCAACCAAGGATAATCCTGTGCTGAATGAAGATTGCGTTGTTGCATATGCGGAAAGCAAGGATCAGGAAAGCAAGCAGCTTGTGCTCAGGCAAGTGCGGGGCGAGAGAGCTGGGGTGTTCCGCGAAGACTACGTCGTGTTTGCAACACGATTCTTTGTTGCAGAAGATTAGGCGGTGCAGTGCGGTGGGATGGTGGGCTGTGCTGTATGTACATGGGATTTGTGCGAAAAGCAGAAGATCAAGTGACAAGGTAATCTAGGAAATAGTAAGTACTCAAGTAAGTATGCCAAGCTGTCAAAGCATGGACTGGATGCAGGATGCCTCGTGGGTGGGGCATCTCCACGTGCGTTGTGATGGTGCCAACACTAATGCCATGTAAGTAAGTGTAAGTACAGTACACCGTGGTCGGAATCGCATTTTGCCCTGCCAATGAGGGCAAAACTGACCCAGAAGTCCCCAAAATAATGAAGTTTTAACCAATCACGACCTCTGTTCTTGGTTCTTAGCATCGCCACATAGAGCGTAGATCTAGAAGAGAGTTGCGCTAGAGCTAAATAGGAGCTTTTTGTTGGCGTAGGACCTCTTTGCCACCTGCCCCTTATTGGTAGGGCAAAATGCGATTCCGACCACGGTGTACTAGATAGTGACAGCAAGGCAGTAAAGTAAGTCTATACTGTGGGTCAGGGACGGTAAGCCTTGTGGATGAGACGGGGGAACTTCATACGTGGCGGTGGCGGAGAGACCAAGAGCGAGGGGTGCATTGTGCAGGCAAAAAACCTTAATTTGGTGGACATGGAGTGGGAATCCAGTGGGTCAAATGCGAATGCAGCCCGATAGGGCTTAGCTGGTCTGCACCAGGCTGGGTTGCATGGCAGCGCAGCGGGTATACTTGTAGACCCAAGACCAAGCCCATGTTTGATGCACACTTGTTTTCTGGACAGCAGCATGTGGAATAATAATATTCAATACCTAGGTGACCAAACACGGCACAGGCTACCAGCCACGAACTCTGTCGGCCCTTTGCAGCTGTCAACCCCGCATCACAAGAACAGATTGACAAAGTGTGGTTGGTCCATTGTGACAGCTGAACCCTTGGCTCGGAAGCAGGCCACTCTCAGAGGCCGTCCCGTACTTGTCAGGAGGTTCCGGCCAAGCCGCTGCACACCTTCTTCTTGGTCCTGTTGTCCGACCAAAGGCTGTCACGGCGAGGCTGCGTCTTCATCTCTCCGCCCACCTCCTTCTTTCGCATCACCTGACTGCAGGCTACGCGTTGAACTATGAATGCAACGGCTGACTGCGCACTCCCAGCGGTACTCTAGTCATACAAGACGCGGCTTGCGGGGCACGACATCTTCTCGGTCGATAACTGCGAGACGTATGATATGCATGAAGCTCGAAGCGTCAACGTCGGAAACCCAACTGCGCATGCGAGGCAGCTCGAATAGGAGCGCCATCTCGGACTACGCCCCCACCCCGCCCTAAGCCGAAAGCGTCCAACCACCCCACGGCCCGCTGGCGGCTCTCGTCTGGCGACGGCTTGCACAGTGCAGACAGAGAGCCGCCGGATCGGTGTTGCTATACATTCACACTACTAAGTACTTACTTCGCATCGATCCATGTCGTGCTACTGCGAGTATTACTACCATTACTACTACGGTTACTACTTACGATTATCAATGCAAATGTGCCCGTGTCCCGCGGCGGGCGGGATCCAACAATGCTCCGCTTACCCGCCTCGGCCGCCCCACACCGCCTGCGCCCCAGCCAGCACCCACCCCAAAGTCACGTGCCCGCCTCTCCTATGAACAACACACACACACACACACACTCGTCGCTCTCACCCAACATCAAGTCCCGGTCCAAAACACCCAACCGCCCGTCGCCATGACGCCCTCTACACCACAAGCATGACTGGTATTGTCGACTCGACTCGCTCCTGTGTCCTCGCCAGCCTTCGAGGCCCTGGAATGATGGCCCCATGGCACAGCGGGCAGTATTCATTGTACTTGGTAAACCACTCGTCGAGACAGCGCGTGTGGAAGGCATGCGAGCATCGGAGCCCTCGCACTTGCGCATCCTCGACAAACTCTTCCAGACAAATGGCACTGTACACGCAATGAGCTCATGTCGCACACGCTGCCACCACCGTCATGCCAACTCACCACAGCGCCTCGGTCGTCTGCTGCCCTGCACCACCTCTTTCCTTTTGGCTCGCCAGCCAGTCGCCAAAATTCTGCGATTGGATATGCCCGTCCAGCTCTTCCTGTCGCGTCTTCCACCGCTTCTCTTTGGCGAGCACTTCTTCGCGCACCAGCCGTGGGAGGACAAGGCCTCTATGCCGATTACTACTTGTTAGCTCAGACATGGACCACACAAGTACAATGCATCTCCGGGAGACTGACACCAGAATCAACAGCAGAAGCAGAACGATCAGTACCGAGGGTACAACAATGGCCACAATAAGCGTGCTACTTCTCGGCCCCGTCTGTGTCTCCGTCTCTGTACTGTTGCTCGCCATCGTGCTGGCTATCGATATACACACACACACACACAAGCCTTAAGTGGGAGACGGGATTAGAAAATAAAAACCCTCCCAATAACAATAACAATGAGGCGTCGAGGCCAAAAGATCACGCCACCATTGCGGGTGGTCTGATGATTGTGCCCGTCCAGACTCGCACGCGCGCCGGGGCCCTGAGACGCCCCGTTTGGGGGCGTGTGAGAGCGGCGAGGGGCAGAGGGGAGGGGAAGAAGAGATGGAGAGAGGGAGAGATGGAGAGAAAGAGAAAGAGAAAAAGAGAAAGAGATAGAGATGGAGGGGGGGAGAGAGAGAGAGAGAGCGGAACAACTACGCCACCAGCACCAGCACCACCGCTTTCTGGCTCGCCTCTGCTACCCTACCACGCCCATCGACTCCGCCTGCACCTCCACCTCCCGATGCTGCATCACCACCCCCGGCCGCCCCGTCGACGCGAAACACTACCCTCCGGGCCTGCACAGCGACTACTTGCACTTGCAACCACTGCCAAGCCCCGGTGTTTGGTCTTACTCACCACCCTCTCAGCTCGCCGCCCTCCGCGCCCTTCCAGGCCCCGCCCTCGCCCTGCCCGTACCACGACACTCGCACCCACGCCCGCGCCCCTCTGCCTGCGACAAAAAGAGGCCTCTCCTCGTGCCGCTGCTCCTCGCCGCATCCCCAACCCCCCGAAACAAAGCGAGTGCCTGCGCTTATATCCTCGACCCGCCCCAGGCCCTGATCCTGCACGTCGCCGGCTAGTCTGACCGGGTGGCTTGGCCAGAGCACCCTTGGACACCTGTATCTCCTGATCAACGCGTGAGCCCTCTCGTGCAACAACCCACACACTCCGACGCTCATCATGGCTCTCAATTGGGACGCATTCCTCAATACTGAGGGTTTCAACCTGCCCACCGACCAATGGTCCGATCTATTACCACCGACTGCTGCCCCTCCCGCCTCTCAAATGCCCAAATCCACTACCACCGACACGTCAGGCTCTTCACCTGAAGACGTCAACAACTTCGACTCTCTTCTCGGCGCTTCGTCTGCCGATCCCTACTTTGACGACTCGCTCTTCCTGTCCAACGACTACTTCCTCGGCGACCTTGACGTCCTCAAGCCCTTTGGCAACAACGCCGCCGCCGCCGCCGCCGCAAACTCCACCACGGAATCCTCTCCTGAGCCCACGGCAAGTGCCAGCAACCCCGCTACCCACCCGCCTGCATCGCTGGCCAACGCCCTCAACCAATCGCCGCACATGTCTGCAGCCCAGAAGCAGGCACTTCAACGTGCCAACGCCTTCCCCAACCCCGCCTATGAGTCCATGTTCCCCAACAACATGGAGTCGGGCTTCGTCCAAGACCTCACCTTTCCAGACGGCCCCAAGGGCCAGCCCGCCGCATCCAAGCCGGCTGCCGAAAGGCCTCAGACGTCGACGACGCCAAACGCCACCTCGAAGCGTACCAAGAACAAGCCAGATATCCTCTCGGCATGCTGGACCTCCCCCCTGTGCCCCAACCATGACCAGGACGGCCCGCCACCCAACCCCTCCACCTGTGGCGGTGGTTGTGCGCCCTTTCTCTTTGCCGATCAAGACAACCTGCCCAGCATCAGTGACTTGCTGGCCGAGCCCCAAGAAGTCACTGCCGCAGAGGGCATCGTAGAGATCCAGCCCCGGCCCAAGAAGCGGTCAGAAAGCGACGCTTCGGCCAACGGCTTCTCTACTCGTCGATTCGAGAGCAACGAGTCGACCACGTCTCCCAGCGAAGATCGGCAAAGGACAAAGAGTGAGACGACAGAGGACACGTCTACCAAGGAATCGCCTCAAGCCAACGACGACGGAAAGCCAAAGTCGCGTCGACGACTACCACACAACCAAGTCGAGCGCAAGTACCGCGAATCCCTCAACACCCAACTTGACTCGCTTAAGCGTGTCGTGCCATCATTACAGCAAAACCCGCGAGCCTGCGACAGCGCCGACATTGAGGATCTGCCTGCCCCCTCCAAGCCTAGCAAGGCCGTCATCCTGGCTTCAGCCACTGCCTACATCAAGCAAATGGAAAAGGAGAAAAAGAGCCTAGCTGACGAGAACCAACTACTGCGTACCAGAGTAAAAGCCCTGCAAGCCTTGGTCAAATGCGACGACTGCAGCTTGATGCAGTACGTCATGGACCTGAAGATCAAACAGGGAGGCTAAATGGCCCATTTTCCCCTCTGGATCCGACATTGCACCATCTACACAGCATTCGCCTGGCGTTTAGAATTGCGTATACCGAATCGGATTTTGATCTTGCAACTAAAGCTAGATTTTCCAGTCCAGACGAACAACTAATTGCCGTCGCCGCTCCCCCGACTGCCGGCTTTCTCCACGGCCGAACCCTTTTTCTGTTTCCCTGTAACGATAGGCGTTTTGGTATTGGGCAACAAAAGACGCGAGCTGACGCATTCGCGCTCATAGGCGTTTTTCTTTTCTTTTCTTCGAGTTGACTTTCCATGGTGTGGCAACAGGTGTAGAGTCTATGCTGTAGCACAATGCATGACTGCACATTTACGAATAATGCTGTGCGCTGCTCCCCGTCAAAGGGGAAATGGAGCAGCAGTGATGAATTATCTATACCACGAATACGATTCTGTGTCTTCCATTACTGAGCTCACGAGCATCTCTTGCTGTTGGCAATTTTGTATGTAATACAAAGCCCTAGTCTAGGCTCTAAGCCTCTGACCATTGTTCAAACGCTGGTAAGCATGAGAAGAAGAAAAAAAACTCCCCATTCCCTGTCCATTATTCGGTGCATCCTCGCAATTCCGCGTCATTTCAAACATCAATAAGTACTAGAAAGAGAAGACTTTGTACAACAAAACACGCATTGCTTATGCAGGAGTTCATGTATCTTCTAAATTGCCCATCACTTTCAACGCCGGTCGGTTTTCAGTGTCTTGACCTCGTCGTCCGCGCTGGGTGTCGTAGGATGGACGTAGCCATCGGCTTCTGCAAATACGACTTTGTCAGTCTCATGTCGAGACATGGAAATCAACAAGACTTACGCATGCGACACTGGACGTATCCAATGGGCCAGATGGGGCCGTCCCACCGGTCCCACCCATCCTCGTAAGAAGTGATGGCCGCCTTTTCGCGTTCAAACGCTTCTTGGGCAGCCGTGCTAGCGGCCATGTTGAGAGGTGCCGACATTTTGGGTGAGTTTTTCGAGTAGTAGGCTGGGGTGTAAGGGTCGTAGAGCATAAGAATGCTTGCACTATGTATGAGGAGATGATGTGCTAGGTGGTGGATTTGTTTGCTCTTGGTGGTGATGGCGTCTCTACTGCAATCATCTCACCCATCTTATAGTCGCCTTGTAGACGTCCTCCCCCTCGACCACCACACGTGTTGTGGAGAGACCAGGAGCTTTGCTCGTATGGCATCTGCATGCGGGCGGATACGGACACGCGGCATCTGAACCGCAACATGATCTCCAGATACACATCTGCCGCCTCCACTTCTGCCCTTCTCCAGACTCTGCTAGCCTGTCGTTGGTACTAGATTTAGGCGTCGGAAGGATCCGGCGCTGCCGGCGCGTGGTGGCGAGACCGGGTGGCTCCGCACACCAGTCACGCCACATATCTCTCCACCACGTGTAATGCTGCACCGCCGTTGTGCCCACACGACAAGTGCGTGGTCTCCTGCCTTTTACGACTCTTTTCCCTTTGTTAGTCCAATACACATGACTTTGCATCCAGGCGCTAACCAGGTCATGTCTTGGTGCAAACGAGAATTGAGTGATGATCACACCATGCTGCTCCAACACCAACTACGCCCTTTGATAGTGCCATGTGTTAAAATGGAGCCATGCGCTACACTCAACTCGACTACACCAAACAAATTGACCACATCAATCCACAAAAAGGTTATTGTCGCTACCAATTCTATACACGTACACATACACACGCACTTGGACTTGCATTTGTGGAGACGGCATTGATACCACAAGACTTGACCAACATCCAACCAAGAGGTTCATGTCACTGTATCCCAACATCCTCGACATATCAGCATACCAAGTCATGGCGGCACAAGACGCACACACAAGGCCACGCTCTGAACACGAGCTTGCAAAACTCGAGCACCACGAGCACACGACACACATGAACCGTCATCACTTGGCCGAAAATGTCGTCGACTGGTTCTCACACATGTTTGCGCCAGCATCCTGCCAACAATGTACATGCTCGCAGCCATGCTGGGCACCCCCACCCCCACCCCCACCCACCGCTGCAGAACTAGGGCGCCCCAGCCTTGTTGTCGACGACGATCTTGTCTTGTTAAAAGGCGATCAAGACGGCGGGCCCCTGTGTCGCGAAGCACGAATTTCGGCATGGAAAGAACAAGGTGAACAAGACAAGGAGGCGGCGCGGAAGAAGAGGAGGAGAAGCATGGAATGGTTGGCTAGTGTGATAAAGAAGGAGAATGCACAGTAGTGAAGATGTGTTTCCAGCACCAAAAAAACAAGCAGCACGATAGCTTCATAAGTTAGAGTAGGCCCACATACAGGCCAAGATTCCCGTTGGACAGACCAAGAACCTCGCGCTTGTGAAATCATCCATTGTCGCATTTGCCTCAGCATCTACATGACCGACTTTACCAAAATGGACCATTCTGTTCCGACGGTATCATGTCTTATTCTGATAGATGCTCATATCTCTACCATGCTAGTATAACAAGCCATGTCGGTCGACATTTGTTTTTCCCGCCTCGAGGCTTTTCCTATCTCTAGCTTCTTGGCAGTGAGCATGTCACTGCTTCACGCTGATTGGTCCACACTCCCTCGTCCACTTCGCAGTTAAAAGATTGCCCATGACGGTGTGTGCTCTTCGTTCGGAAATTCGCCATGGATCCGATTGAACGTAGCAAAACACAGGATGAGAAGGAGGCAAGAAGAAGAAGAGACGATGAAGATTTGGAAAAGGGTAATGATGATGCGCATGGAATGAAAAGTAATGTGGGCACTGCAGGTAAGTTGTCTACATATGTGGTAGCGGACCAGAAGGAAGAATTCACACTGTTGACAGGACTCGATGATGAGGATAAACAGCTCCCACCGCTGAAAGCTCTCTCGTTCCTGGATCGATTCTTGGTCGTGTGGATCATATTGGCCATGGCCATAGGTATCGTTATAGGCAACACAGTCGACTCGGTGGGGCCTGCATTGCAGAAAGGCGAGTTTGTCGGTGTGAGCATACCCATAGGTGTGTATTTCGACAATCAGAACCGCCGAGCTTCATACTGACCATGGTCGTCTAGCCATTGGACTGCTCGTCATGATGTACCCGATACTGTGCAAGGTCCGCTATGAGACACTGCACCTGCTTCTCAACTCAAAAGCGCTGTGGATTCAAATCGCCGTCTCTTTCGTCCTCAACTGGATCATGGCCCCACTCTTCATGGTCGGCCTTGGCTGGGCTTTCTTGCCAGACCGGCAGGATCTGCGCGAAGGCCTGATCTTCGTTGGCATTGCCAGATGCATCGCCATGGTGCTCATCTGGACGGATCTTGCACAGGGTGATGGCGACTACTGCGCGGTGCTCGTCGCCTTCAACTCTATACTACAAATTGTGCTGTTTGCGCCGTTCGCCATCTTCTACGTCGAGGTTGTTAGTCATGGCCAAAAGACGACGGTGTCATACGAGGGCGTGGCGCAGAGCGTGGGAGTGTTTTTGGGGATCCCTCTTGGTGCAGCAGTCGTGACAAGGCTGGCTTTGAGGACGGTGTTGGGAGAGGATCGGTACCAAGGCCGCTTCATCCGATACATTGCACCCTTTTCGCTCATGGGGCTGATCTACACCATCATCGTGCTCTTTGCGAGTCAGGGTGCGCATGTCGTCCGACAGATTACCGACGTGCTTCGCGTTTGCGCGCCACTGCTCGTCTACTTTCTGGTTGTTTTCACAAGCACCGTCTGGTTCTGCTGGAAGATGGGCTTCGGGTACAAGGTCAGTTGCACGCAAAGCTTCACGGCGGCGAGTAACAACTTTGAACTGGCGATTGCAGTCGTCGTGGCCGTGTACGGTGCTGGAAGCGGACAAGCCCTGGCCAGTACTGTAGGGCCTCTGATTGAAGTACCGGTGCTTGTAGTGTTGGTATACGTCTTGAAGTGGATCCGTGCGAGATGGCAATGGGCCTAGAAGACGTGGCATTGCGTTATCAAGTGTACATGGATTGCCGTGGGATCAGCGTCTAGACCAAGCCGACCAACGGCACACTGGCCATGCACTCTGATGGCACAGCAACCGGACATGGCAAGACTACGCTCCAGAAGGCCCTAGTGTACCGAACAGTATGTAGAGAGTGAGATTGCTGTTTGCAAGTGGTAATGTCAGTGCACAGCAAACCCGTTGGCCACGACCAGATGCGCACATGGATGCAGAGCAGAGTCTAGCGTGCGCGGAGAAGATGCCAAACTAACTTGCAGCGCTTTCGCTTAATAACCAGCACGCAGGCCTTAGTCGCATAAGATCTTGCATCGGGGGCTTAGCACCTGACCAGAGACGGCCAGGATGCGGCTCCCGTTCAAACCGCATAAGGAGATAGATTTGGACACACGAACGCTGCGGCTCATAATACCGAAGCCACAGCAGAGTAAGATTGAGAAAAGATGGGCGGGCGGTGAGAGGTAGACGCCATCTTATCGTTGTGGAATTGATCAGCCGGTGGCTCATACAGCAGCAGGCCTCATCGATCGTGCATGGTCACGTACCCATCAAAGCAGATAGAGACGGACAGGCTCGCTCGGGCGATGTCGATGATGGGATTTTTTTTTAAGAATAGCACATGTGCAGCGGTGCAGCGAGGGTTGAGTAGTCGATGAAGCTTCGTTTTTCCCTGATACTCGGTAACGATGAGTAGCGAGCATCATGGCAAACATGGGCCCTTTTGCCGGACATGCCGACTCGTTGTTCAAGGGGAAGGGGGGAGGGGGCATAGACGGTGGCGCTGCAGTCTGATTCAAAGTCATGACAATGCAGTCATGGCATCGGCCATTATGTCCCATAGTATAGCGTTCGTCGAGTGTCCTGCTCCGTTTGGCTTAGCATATGATGATCTGAAAAGAAGAATCATGAACCCCCGCAGGCTTGTAGCCGACTAGCTTGACTCGGGGGACAGTGTGAAATTTGTGTTTTGCAAATGAACAAGGCCGAGAAGGGTCGTGTTAGCGGCGGGCAGCTACAAAGGTCGATATGGATGTCAATGCATATGGTATATATGTATGTGGTATGTGTGTAGGGCGGTACCTACTTGTGCCCCCGCAGCCCTACTCGACAGGACCTTGGGCGGGTGCACAAAGAGAGGGGACATGTCGTGCACGCACACGCGGCGGATACGCTTTGTACCGTGGCAGAGGGCCGATTTTGCCAAACTCGTAGGCGAAGTGAGGCTTGGCGACGGCCGCAAATGTTACGGTTGCAAATAGCCGAGGCGGTGGGCGGAGCACTTTGGACAATCCCTGTACATTGCTACTGCCCACACGCGTTCGGAGATTTGGTGGCTCTGCGGGTGCTGGACGTGATGCTGCCACTGCGTGCTGGCTCCATGACGGCTTCCTACGCTTCCTCCGAGAGATTGCGGTGCAGAGGCGCAGGCCGTGGATGGGTTTGGCTGGGGCGCCGATGCAGCGCGCCTGCGTGGCGAGAGAGGGCATCCATGGTCCATCTTGTATAC